GATAACATTTCATATCTACTCTCTTCAACACTGAACTTCCGTCAAGGTCAATCTTGTCCTGAAATGTCCTGGTTTAAATAACATGACTGCACCAGGGGTGTTGCTACTTCTCTCTTGACCGCTGATCGGATGCTAATATTTGGCAGGTACATGTAAACCCTAAACCTTTCGTCAAGTTTCTTTGACTCCCGCATTTTGCAGGTACTCATTTAAGTACTGCTAAAGTAGAGCCTGGTAACACGTGCGATGCAACTGAAAACGCACGTGCGACGCAAATGAAATGCACGTGCGACGGAAATGAAGTGCACTGCAACGAAAATAAAATGCACGTGCGACGCAAATAAAAGCGTACGACGGCGGTGCGCGCTACAAATTCCTCATCTTCAATGGGGAAAGGGCTTAAAACTTGGGTGTTTTCTAACTGTAAGATCTGTTATTTCGAATGCTTTAAAGCCTAATAATTTCTCACTTACAGCATGATGTTCCAGTTGCAGAGTTTACTCAATGGAGGCGCCCTCAACGTTGCCAGCCTAAAATGCGCTGTATTTTTATGATAGATTGCTCTTTCTATCGGTTCATTGGCTTAACAAACTACAAAGGATGTAATAAGAACACGAGAAGAGTTTGTAAATCACTCTTTCACTGCTCATAATCTACGAACATTTTGAATGTTATACCAACATACTGCGTAGTTTATTACGCTAGTAAACGAATAAAAAGTGTAGTCTGTTGCTTCTGTAACTAAAATTATGTGTTTATCGGTACAACAAACTATGGATTTTCCACCAATCAGAACACTTTTTTAAATGCGAAATAAGTGACTAAGCACTGAGAGAATACAGAGCAAGTTCTGTTGACCGGGCCTTGTGTGAGGAGGCACTAACTCTATTAACTTTATTATTACGACACTTACTTGATACTTACTTAGACAGCATAGTTTTCAGTGTTTAGTTTACTATTTCGAAGAAAACTTCAATGTCAGATGGGGTGAAATTCGATGCTCCTGTGAAAAATTTACAATCTCCAGCTGAATAGCCCGAGGGGCTGGAGTACGTGCCGCCGCATCTAGTATAAGATAATTGATTGTTTTTTGCGGCATTTGATATATAGATATCATGTCTCGAGCCAAAAGTGGGTCCGTCAGGGGAACATCTGTACATTGCGTATTGCTGGTTTTGGTATTGTGTCAGCTTCACGGGATTGTATCCTTTGACGTTGTCAAGGGAGAAAACAAAAGCTTTGCTGGCTGAAGAATAAGCACAGGGACTGCCTAAAGTGAAAATATTTATGAGAATTAGAAACTATGCGAATGAGAAAAAAAATTCATGATGATAACCATAAAAAATGATTATTTTTACTTGCCGAACTAGAACCGAACACTCAAGTTTTTTAGAAAAAATTTCAAGAACTCGAGAGCATATTTTCACTTTTCAAAAAAGCACTTGAAATATGATCCGAACTGTCATTCAAAGGCAACATATAATCTAAAGAGAGCATTAATTTAACATCCTTTGTTTCATCTCTCCAATATGAGTAATGGATATAACGAAACACGGGGAAATGGCACGAAATGGAGCTGTCAGAATCAAATCAAATCAAAATCAAATCAAATCAAATCAAATCAAATCAAAACAAAAAATCAAATCAAATCAAAATCAAATCAAAACAAAAAATCAAATCTGAAACAAGACTTTAAGTTAAAACCCGTTTCAAACGCGTTTTCAAGCTATCTACGTGTTTGTCTAATTTGGGGTTGCAATTGTTAATGAGATATTTTCTGTTTCTAAGATAAGTCCACGACTAATCGACTTGTTATCTGTTCTACATGTGAGAGATGTTTGCTTGTTTTTTACTCACTGCTGGTCCAGGACACGTCAGTGTATCCACCAAAGATATAACTGTTAACTTTAATGATAGTCACTGTGGGTCCCCTCCCATCGCAGTTACTGTGGAATGTCGATGCTGCCCAACCGTCAGTCTCTGCGTGCCAACACCTCACAAACCTGCTACGCTCTTTATTGATAAGGACTGGGTCCAAATACGAAAATAGCACCTTCAAGTACTTGTTGTAATCAAGACTTCGAAGTATGGCGGACAAACCGAGGCCTGAGAAGGGAAAAGAAAAGGAAAAATTACAGTTGGCAAATTGAATGAAACAAGAGCTTTGATTGCTGGTGTCGCCTTTGAGTCATAGGTGGATCATTTCATCACCCCTCGTTTGGCCCGCTAGGTAATCTAACATTGCTGATCCGGCAAGTTGAATGATTCCTAGCCCGTCTACCAGGCCGTATTTTATGCCGCAGAGAGAATGAAATTTGTTTGTTAGCTCAGGTGTTCTTTCAAGTGGCCCCACCGACTTCGTTCTCATGTAATACCCACAAACCCCCGCGGCAACCTAGGAAGTCCTCTCGGGCTCGTCACGCAACGAGACTTTATAAGCTTACACATTCCTTTGAAATGACAAAAAAGTAAGCTTTCAGTATTCCATCAACACAATTTTCTACGAAGTATCTATGCTTGAAAAGGTATGTTTCTCTTGATTACCTGCTTCATAGAATACTTCGATGTCCGTTGGATAGAAAGTAGACCACCTTGTAAGAAAATGACAGTCACCAGTTGAGTACCCTGAGGGTGTCGTGTACGTGCAACCGCATCTGGTGGAGGAGTTTCCGTTGTTTCTAGAGTCGTCGGATATGTAGATATCATGACCACACCCAGCGCCAAAGGTGGGTCCATACGTATTACATCTGTACATTGCATATTGCTGATTTCGGTATTGTGTCAACTTTACGGGATTGTATCCTTTGACGTTATAGAGAGAGAAGATGAAAGCTTTACTAGCGTAGGAATGACCTGCGCAAGAACCAGCTGAAATGGAAGAACAATGTGGTCATACGTTAAAAAGTTAGAAGAAAACATAAACCCCTTAAGGAAGGGGGGGAGTTCATTTTCTGTCATGAGCTAGACGGGGAGTTTTTTTTAAACTAGACTCGGAATTGTGAAGGAGAGGAAAATATTTCACTAGTTTTGGTATAGAAACGAGAACCAAAAACAATTATGGAGGACTTGCGGGGTTACTCTGAAGAAAAGCGAGTAAAAGATTTTGAGACTTGAAGCAAATGACCCCTTTGGTTTAAATGTTGTTCTGCAGGTGTATTAAATGGGAAACATTTCTATAGATGATATAGGAGTGAAGAAATCTTGATGGCCAAAAAACTAACATGAAATAATAAAGGCTTAGAGCTCTTATCAAAGGAGCATCGTTTAAAATTTTCTCCAGCTCCCTCTCCCCCTCCCCCCCTCCTTGAATCCCAAAAGGAACGATAGATGATCCTATAAAATTGTCTTGTCTCCTCTTAAAAAATTTGATATGCTTGCCTCCGCTCCATGACACGTCAGTATATCCACCAAATATGTAATCATACACTTTGATGATTGTCACTGTGGGTCCCCTCCCATCGCAGTTTCTGTGGAATGTCGATGCTGCCCAGCCGTCAGTCTTAGCATGCCAACACCTAACAAAGTCAGTGCGGGATGTAGTGGGAAGAACTGGGTCTAAAAACGTAATCAGCTTTCCCAAGTATTTATTGGGGTCCAAGCTTCCAAGAATATCAGATGCACCAAGGCCACCTGTGTGCGTAAAAGAAACTGGAATGTAAATTACAATAACAGAAGTTCTGGAATAAAGAAAGATGTTATTTCTTCTTTCACAACCGTAAAAGTATTTCACAAAAATTATAGCCGCAGATCTTCTTATTCACAGGGCGAGGTGCTAACCGTGTGATCCCATTTAAACTTAAATATTTCCCAGTGCATTTATTTTGTAAACACATCAACCAAATTCCGCGAGAACACATTTTCTTAAGTGCGTGTAAAACGGGGAAACGAAAAGCAAAAACCAAAAGTTCAGTTTAGCTGGGTTGAACTGTCTGCTTTAGCCTGACTCAGCGATTCAATTTCATGGCAAAACATGGCATCTGGATCAATTTGTTCCTTGATTTAGTTGATGAGCACTGATACCCCGGAACTGGGATACAATTTACTTAGCACTGCTGCCACAATAACCTGAATAGTATTTCGCTTCTGTATATGGTTCAGCGCATGCGCTTTTAGAATCCCTGACCGTTGCCAAGGATAAGAGTTTATGTATTTATTCATCGTATATTTCGGACAGGGTTTTAAGTGTTTCTGTACAATAACTTACCTATTTCGAAGAAAACTTCAATGTCAGATGGAGTAAAATTATAACTTCCTGTGAAAAATCCACAGTTTACACCCGAATAACCCGTAGGGTTGGAGTATGTCTGGCCGCATTCAGTATAAGAGTACTGATTGTTTACGGCGTCGTCATATATGCGGATGTCATGTCCCCAACCAAAAGTGGGTCCGTAAGAGGGACATGTGTACATTGCATATTGCTGGTATCGGTATTGTGTCAGCTTCACAGGATTGTATCCTTTGATGTTGTTAAATGAGAATAAAAAGGCTTTGGTGGCGTAAGACCAATGACAGGAACCTAAAAAAATTGATTGAAATGAAGATGCAGAGATGCATCCAAAGATTAGACAGGTATACGATCTGCGACCAGCCCCAAAAAGCTGGTTTTTTGTTCTTCTTTTTTACATTCAAGATGGAGTTAGAGATAGTTTTGAAATGAAAACAATGAGAACATAATGAGACGAAACAAAAGTAGATCGGTTCTTTGAGAAACGACTGAAACAACTATTGCTTATATTTCTATCCTGGGACATGGCTTTGGGCCCGTAGCGTTACCAATAATTTCAAGAAACACACTTTAGGAGAATTTTTTTTTCTGTTTAAGACACCAAGCTAGATTCAAACCTTCCAACGTTAATTCTTTGCCCTTTGAAATCATTCAGATCTTGCACCAAAAGAAAAAAAATAAATGGCCAGGATCTACTTACTGCTCCATGATACGTCGGTGTATCCACCAAATATGGAATCGTTCACTTTGATGATTGTCACTGTGGGTCCCCTCCCATCGCAGTTGCTGTGAAATGTTGATGCCGCCCAGCCGTCAGTCTCAGCATGCCAGCACCTAACAAAGTCAGTACGGGATGCAGTGGGAAGAACTGGGTCTAAAAACGAAATCAACTTTCCCAAGTATTTATTGGGGTCCAAGCTTCCAAGTATAGTAGATGCACCAAGGCCACCTGTGTGCGTAAAAGAAACTGGAATGTAAATTACAATAACAGAAGTTCTGGAATAAAGAAAGATGTTATTTCTTCTTACACAACCGTAAAAGTATTTCACAAAAATTATAGCCGCAGATCTTCTTATTCACAGGGCGAGGTGCTAACCGTGTGATCCCATTTAAACTTAAATATTTCCAAGTACATTTATCTTGTAAACATATTAACTAAATTCCGCGAGACAACATTTTCTTAAGTGCGTGTAAAACGGGGAAACGAAAAGCAAAAACCAAAAGTTCAGCTAAGCTGGGTTGAACTGTCTGCTATAACCCGACTCAACGATTCAATTTCATGGCAAAACATGGCATCTGGATCAATTTGTTCCTTGATTTAGTTGATGAGCACTGATACTCCGGAACTGGGATACAATCTACTTAGCACTGCTGCCACAATAACCTGAATAGTATTTCGCTTCTGTATATGGTTCAGCGCATGCGCTTTTAGAATCCCTGACCGTTGCCAAGGATTAGAGTTTATGTATTTATTCATCGTATATTTCGGACAGGGTTTTAAGTGTTTCTGTACAATAACTTACCTATTTCGAAGAAAACTTCAATGTCAGATGGAGTAAAATTATAACTTCCTGTGAAAAATCCACAGTTTACACCCGAATAACCCGTAGGGTTGGAGTATGTCTGGCCGCATTCAGTATAAGAGTACTGATTGTTTACGGCGTCGTCATATATGCGGATGTCATGTCCCCAACCAAAAGTGGGTCCGTAAGAGGAACATGTGTACATTGCATATTGCTGGTATCGGTATTGTGTCAGCTTCACAGGATTGTATCCTTTGATGTTGTTAAACGAGAATAAAAAGGCTTTGGTGGCGTAGAACCAACGACAGGAACCTAAAAAAAATTGATTGAAATGGAGATGCAGAGATGCATCCAAACATTAGACGGGTATACGATCAGGGGCCGGCCCCGAAAGCTGTTTTTTTTTCTTCTTTTTTACATTCAAGATGGAGTTAGGGATAGTTTTGAAATGAAAACGATGCGAATATAATGAGACGAAACAAAAGTAGATCGGTTCTTTGAGAAACGACTGAAACAACTATTGCTTAAATTTCTATCCAAGACATGGCTTTGGGCCCGTAGCGTTACCAATAATTTCAAGAAACACATTTTAGGAGAATTCTTTATTTCTGTTTTAGACACCAAGCTAGATTAAACCTTCCAACGTTGATCCTTTTCCCTTGGAAATCATTTAAACCTTGCACCGAAAGAAAAAAATAAAAGGCCAAGATTTACTTACTGCTCCATGATACGTCGGTGTATCCACCAAATACAGAATCGTTCACTTCGATGATTGTCACTGTGGGTCCCCTCCCATCGCAGTTGCTGTGGAATGTCGATGCCGCCCAGCCGTCATTCTTAGCGTGCCAACACTTAACAAAGTCAGTACGGGATGCACTGGGAAGAACTGGGTCTAAAAACGATATCAACTTTCCCAAGTATTTATTGGGGTCCAGGCTTCCAAGTATAGTAGATGCACCAAGGCCACCTGGGTGCGTAAAAGAAACTGGAATGTAAATTACAATAACAGACGTTCTAGAATAGAGAAAGATGTTATTTCTTCTTTCACAACCGTGAGAGTATTTCACAAAAATTATAGCCCTAGATCTTCTTATTCACAGGGCGAGGTGCTAACCGTGTGATCCCATTTAAACTTAAATATTTCCAAGTACATTTATTTTGTAAACACATCAACTAAATTTCACGAGAACACGTTTTCTCAAGCGCGTGTAAAACTGGCAACGAAAAGCAGAAACCAAAAGCTCAGTTTAGCTGGGTTGAACTGTCTGTTTCAGCCCAACTCAGCGATTCAATTTCATGGCAAAACATGGCATCTAAATCAATTTGTTCCCTGATTTAGTTGATGTGCACTGATATCCTGGACTGGGATACAATTCACTTAGCACTGCCGCCACAATAACCTGAATAGTATTTCGCTTCTGTATATGGTTCAGCGAATGCGCTTTTAGAATCCCTGACCGTTGCCAAGAATTAGAGTCTATGTATTTATTCATCGTATATATACGACAGGGTTTTTAAGTGTTTCTGTACAATAACTTACCTATTTCGAAGAAAACTTCAATGTCAGATGGAGTAAAATGAAAACTCCCCGTGAAAAATCCACAATTTCCAGCTGAATAACCCGTGGGGTTGGAGTACGTTCCACCGCATCTAGTAAAAGAGTACTGATTGTTTACAGCATCAGGTATGTGGATGTCACCTCTCCAACCAAAAGTGGGTCCGTAAGAGGAACATCTGTACATTGCGTATCGCTGGTTTCGGTATTGTGTCAGCTTCACAGGATTGTATCCTTTGATGTTGTTAAATGAGAATAAAAAGGCCTTGGTGGCGGAAGACCGATCACAGGAACCTAAAGTGTTGATTACAATGGAAATGCAGAAATACACCCAAAGATTAGACAGGTATAGGATCAGGGACCAGCCACAAAAAGCTGTTTTTTGTTTGCCGCTTTTACATTCAAGGTCGAGTCATGTATAGTTTTGAAATTTAAACGATGAGAATATCATGAGACGAAACCAAATTGGATGGATTTGAATAACAAGATAAAGCTTTGCGCCCATAGTGTTACCAAGAATTTCAAGAAACAGGCTTCAGAAGATATATTTTGTTCTGTTTTAGACACCAGGCTAGATCAAATCCCTCCAACGTTAATTCTTTGCCCTTCTAAATCCTTCAAAGCTTGCACCGAAAAAATGAACTTAATGGCCGAGATGTACTTACTGCTCCATGATACGTCAGTGTATCCACCAAATATGGAATCGTTCACTTTTATGATTGTCACTGTGGGTCCCCTCCCATCGCAGTTGCTGTGGAATGTCAATGCCGTCCAGCCGTCTGTCTTAGCGTGCCAACACTTCACAAACCTGCTCCACTCTGAACTCAGGAGGACTGGTTCTAGGTAGGAAAGCAGCTTACCTGTGTAGTTGTTGTAGTCGAGGCTGGTAAGAATAACGGAACCATTAAGGCCACCTATGCGAAAAACCGAAAAAGGGAGAAAAGGTAAGGATTGCCCTACCTTGAAGTTTTAGCGTCATGTTGCATTCGTCATCTTGGTGGGGGTAATGCATACAATTTGCTTTTTCGTTTTTACGAATTACAGCGTGACAACCGTTGTGTGACGCGCATCGATCTCTGACACAACTTGCCTTTCCGACCCCATATGAACTGGTAGGTGCACTTACGAAAACATTGTCTCCCTTTCAGAAGTATTTACACGATGAAAGCGTGTTTTTATGATAATCCAGATTGCTAAACCCAGTACACCTGGTCACATCTCGCCTCCTTATTTGCACCAATCAATGCTTTCTTAGAATTAGAGGAAAACCACGAGATAAAGACATGATAACAATGAAAAAAAAAAATTAAGGTTGATCAAGATCAATGAAACTGTTTCTTTTTTGAGGGGGGGTGGTAAGTTAGGCATCAAGTGAGACGTATTCTTCAACCCTTTAACCCCTAAGAGGGTTTGGCATTTAATTTCTCCTCACCGTATTACTGCCGAACAAAACATTAGAATCATGGGAATAAAGGAAATAATCATCAAGTTATGAAGCTCTTGATTGTCAAACAAATCCCCTTGGCAGTACCATACGGTATGCGTAGAGAACAGTGAGGAGAATATCTGTACTGATGTTAGGGAGTAAAGGGTCATAATGTCGCCCTTTGTTAGGACGATTTCCATCTTGGTCTCGATTCAGGACTGACTCATATTAAAAAAATATATTTCCAAAATTGTAAGCTTCATATGACGATACAGAAAGATAGAGAAGGCGAAATGCGAGCATCATAACAAACTGAGGTCACTCGTATCTCAGTGTTAGTTAAACTCACTAAAATAGCAGCTTGTTCCGTTTCCTTGGTACCAGGAATTGCAGGTACATCGATAGGAACCAGCGGTATTGTTACAGGAGGCATTGGCATCACAGTCATGCGATTTATTGGCACATTCGTCGACATCTGAGAGAATGCATAAAAAACTAAATGGCTTGAACTCAAAAGCAAGAGTCGATCAAAAATGACTGTTATTAGCGAAAGCGTCTCGCCGTATAAGCAATTGAACGTGACATGGCGTGGGGTATAATTCCAATCGGTTATTAAAGCAATTTTTTTCAATCGAGTGTCCAGTGTTTTGGTTTTGTCTTGTTTTAAAATGACTTGCTTTAGGCAATAGTAAAAGTCATTTCACTAACTTACCGACACATTTTTTTCCGTTTCCAGTAAAACCAGTTTTGCACGAGCAACTGTGAGAACCGATGGTGTTCGCGCACTCGGCGTTGGCGTCACACACGGGAATTGTTGAATTACACTCGTCCACGTCTGAAAAAACCAAATAGTTTGTGGTCGGTTTAAAAGAAAAAAAATAGGTATTTGCTGAATTATTACTCATTCATGGATTCATCAGACCAATTGCTTCCGGCGGGAGCCAAAATTTTACTCTGTACGACCCCATCAGGAAGTAAAATTTCCCCTTCCCTATTCGTTAAATTTTGTCACTATAAAGTTGCAATAACAATTTGCTATTGAATTATTATCTCTGTGTCAAAAAAGAAATTTTTCAATTCTATTTGACCTGTTCTCAAATCGATCAGTTTAGGAGAGATTATAGCATTCCTTCATAGCTTTGTTTCCGTCAGATAACTTACTATTTTTATTTTGTTTTGTTTTGCTTTATTTTCTCATTTCCCCCTATGAATATTGGGGTGGGGGAGGGGGATTAGGGGGTTGCAGTCTACCCATAATATCTCTGTCAACGCTTTTGCTCGTGGTAAATCGATTTTTGTCTGTAGAAGATGTGAATTGATACACACTTAAATTCACCTTCGGTTTTCATGTCACAAGGAGCCAGAACAGTCCTCTCGGGTACAATCGAGTGAAACCAGTATTTGCCGCTGACCACTTGTCCTCCTTCGCTCATTTTGATTTCCTGGCAAGTCCCCGCAGGCAGCTCAGGAATAGAACCGAGAGGAACTGGAAGAAAAAAGCAATTATTACCATAGCACTCCAAGTAAGCAAGATTTCATGTTCTTCTTGGGAACGAAGACACTCATATTGAGGGCGACTTGACTTAAGGCAATAAGGGAGGTGATGTGACACAATTCCTTAAAGTTATAAAATTCCCTAGAAAATTTGGGTTGAAATTTTTGTGCTCTGAAAATGTCTTTATAGGGAAGAAGACAGTCAAAACGTACAAACCTCTTTTGTAATCTCGCTTAAAGTAAAATCTCTCAGGGTTCGGAACATAATCCTCTGGTCTGGCCTCTTTGGTTCGGTTACTCAGCTCACAAATGTCTTGCGTAAAGACATAGTTGAAACTTTGACATCTGACGTCAGCATAGCATTCCCGCAAGCACACATCTGAAAGACCAGCCCCCGTGATCCTCTTGAAGATGTGGCGTTGAAGCATCATACCAAATTTGGAAACTTCCGGCTGGCCCGTAGCCTCCCCTTGCTGTGCAGCTGTACAGTATAACAGCACGCTTTTGATCAACAGCCCTGCTGCGTACAAGACCTTTTTGGCCATTTCCTCTCGACGCAAGCTTTGGGGAAAAACGTTCCCTGGATAGAAAAAGGCAAATTATCTTTTGGACGAAAACTTGCCCTAATCTGTAGACTGGTTTTTCGTGAGTTCACGATCAACATGCATGCTTCTTTGTTTGTCATTTTACTTTATTTTCATTTGTTTATTTTTTTTAGGAATTGCGAGCACAGAAAAGTCATAGATATTTGCCAAACTGGACCTCAAATTTAAGGAAAAGGGATGATTGTTCAATACCAAAACGTATTTAGTCATTCGATATTTGTTATTTTTAACCATTAGCTTGATTTGCATTCTGGTCAAGAAATGCAATATCAAATGAGTAATGAAGAAAGGCTGGTAGAGCTGTATTAGTTAGGATAGTAAGTTAGGAGCTGCTAACAAGTTAGGATTTGGAGTTTCTCCTTTATCGAGCAGTCGCTTGAACAGCGATCGAAAACCGATTGTTGGCGACTGGAGGTCGTGATACGAACTCGAATTCTACTTGTGAGCAAACCTCAAAGCTTCTTCAAGTTAGGATTTTGAGTCGGATTTCGGGCTTGATTTTCGAGTTGCAGTTTCCAGTAAAGCAAGGCATAGAACTTGAAAAGAAGCCGAAATACTTCGTTTCATTTTTGCAGACTACAAAATTGACATAATTCATCCTGCATGACATAATTTTATATTTTAGTCAGATCCATACGCTTTGTTTTGTTTAAGAATTGTTCATACTAATCAGTTATTCAAGACTCGGATTCCTTGTTGTCTCTTACTTGTTTTTGAAAACTTTTACGATCCTTCCGGCAAAAATTCGTTTTATTCTTGATGCTCGCTCTATTATAATAAAAAAATTATAAAAAGTCACCACTGGCCATTAACATTTAAAGGTAAAATTTCCGTTTTCATTGTTGATTTTAAATTTGTTCAACCTAGGGAATAAAGTACACAGTTGTTAATTGGGAATTTACCAAAACCAAAACAATCGAGGCCGCAAAAAATCTAAATCAAAAACCATTTTCCCCGTAAATTCTGAGCTTTTCATTCACAGTTATCGGTTAACTGGATCAAATGTTCTCGCTCAAACCAAAGTATAAAATGTGTCGTGTTTTTGACCAGCCAATAGGGACGTTTGTTTACTTTTTTGTGCGTTGTGAGAATTTTGCACTCTATCACAATAAAAGGCTTCTTCGCGTAGATCCTTGTTGTCGCTCTGTTATAAAAGAATTTGCTCGTGCTTTTAGCTGTGTGTATATCGAGTTATGGATGAACTTGGGAAGTTTGGAGAGCACTAAAAAAGCTAGAATTGCTCTCGGCTGCGCCTCGAGCTAGTCTTACGCATTTTTCGTGCTCTCCAAACTTCCCGCATGCATCCATAACTCGATATACGCACGCTAACCATAAACAAATTCTTAATTTTTCCGCGAAACTCAACTTGGAAAATTTAGCATAGCGCATGAAAAATTTTCAACTGTTCAATATCTAACAAATTCCTTTTTGACACGATTAACGGGAAGTACGAGGCATATGCTTCATTTACCAAATGGAAAACGGACAATTTTTAAACTTCAAAAATATTTATGAAATATAAAAAAATGTAGTCGGAGCCTGTCAGGGACTGCTTTAGGTGTCAGAGGCTGGAATCTTCAGGGGGAATCAGGATATGTTTCACACTTGAGTCAGATTTCTAACACGACCGTTATATTCTATCTTCACCTAAATGATCTTCGCGATATTTGTAGGAAGCGGCTGAAGAGCGTTTGCGTGTAAACTTGGCATAAGACAGGAGCTTGCCAGTTTGTGAAAGATTTGTTTACGCTGCTGCATTGTCGAGCAAAAGGAAAATATCAGTTAATAATCAACCATGAGTTTGTAAAGGAAGCAAAAACTACCGTAGCGAAAATTTGAAAAACTGAAGTTTCGAGTATAGTCGCTTCGTGGGAGCAATACAATGCTTAGTTTATCAATTAATGAGTCCTTTTTCACAATATGCTGGGATTTGGGTCCTTGCAGTAGCTTTCCCGAACTTGTAAAACGAGCTTCCCATCTTTCTTCACATTTTAACTTGTCTCACAAAAATATTCAAGATTTTGCGAAGGCGGGAGACATAGATGGAAGTGAAAAATAAAAAAATTAAAGGGGCCGCTGCCTTCGTAGGAACTCTCCTGACTAAGCCAATATATCTTTCATCAAAGTTTACTCTCTTACTACAGTATTTAAGCCTCTTGTTTCCAGAAAAAGGTCGTCAAATTTTCTGACATGATTTTTGGGTTTCGTCGAGACACCGACAATTTTTTTTTTTTTACCAGAAAATACATTTGCGTAGCCATGCCACACTGACATAGCTCTATCTGTAAACGAAATACTCTGCAACTAAGCCCAAACAAAATTATTTCCTACCGTTTTCTCCAAGAATGTTTCTTTGCCGGCGATTCTTGTCTGTATGTTAGTGTAGCTCCCTAATTCAACGACGGAGCTGAAGTTTTACATCTTAGTCAGGTCCATACGCTATGTTTTGTCCAA